TAATGCAAGAAAGACGCTGACAACTCTTGACCACATGTACACATTTCCAACAATTGTAGATATTAGGAATGGTATTGATGAACGTGCCTTTGGGAAAGTTCCAGGCAAAGACGGAATTCCTGTTAAGATCATCAGAATTTGTATAAAAATATATTTTTGTTTAATAAGAATTCATAGAATGTGACACAACAACGTGAGCCGAGTCGTTAGTGCCTAACACTGCTTCATGACACCATCGTTTTGTCATAAATGCTTTTGTTTTAAAGTCCAGGAGGCCTATATGTCGACTGATGATCCTTAAACTCCTTATGTAACTAGTTGATACGACAACTTAAACCCTCATTGAGCCACCTAACACTATGACACGCCACCTGGCCTTTTGTCATAGGTTTTCTTTAAAAAAATACAACTCAAATCCTCCCTTAGCGATTATAGCACCCTAAATCCCTAAGCGGCCGGCAACTAAACTATGGCATGACATCCACCATTGTGCTAAGAATTTGTTTAATCTCCGAAATGAATAAAAAATTACCAAACACACAACCACCTGTTTAAACCTATATAACTTTTATATGTTTTCTTTCATTGCATATATATATATATATATATATATATATATATATATATATATATATATATATATATATATATATATATATATATATATATATATATAAAGCTAAAAGTCTTACATCTAAATATAAAACGCCGGAGAGAGTAATCTGTAAGTCTAATGGTTTTTCTTATTTTTTTTTTAAATATCAAAGGTATACTTATCTCAAGAGTAAGCAAAACTGAACACTTATGTAATTTTCACAATGCTTGAGCCCTCCCATTGCTGTTTCTGACCTGCTTTAATATTTTCTATACATAATCATATGTGACTCTGTCACTGAGCGTATCTGCCCCCTTTCCATATGTTCCTGTATAAAGTCATACTTTAACCACTGACCTCTACTGACCAATCAGAAAATAGCACCTAACAACCTCTAAGAACACTCACTGAATCTGTCCTCTTTTTTTTTTTTTTTTAAATAAGTCATACACAAACACACCAAGGTTGCTGATCTGGTCATCTATATAAAAGACCCTTTGTGATTTGGGCTAACAAAAACTCGTCCCCTCCCCCACCACTAATAGTCTCATATACCTCTTTTGGCGCCAAATATTTCGTCTGTTATTATTTATTAGATCAAACGACTCAATAATTGTTCTGGTAATAATAATTCCCTGTATTTTACCGATAGCCCAATAAACCTGATCACGTTAACAAAACATGTACTAAGAATATATACTGAGGCGCCTAATTATTAGGGGAATTTAGGGCAGTGCTGTTGGCAAAGCGAGCCTCTTGATAATCCATAACTACTAAGGTTAAATAGAGAGGTGCTGTCATCAAAGCGCGTCTTCCACTAATAAATAATTACAAAGGGAGGCCCTTTTATCAAACTGTGTCTCCTGCTAATCGATAATTACTAAGGGTATAGAGAGAAGCACTCTCATCAAAGTTCATTTCCTGTTAATCAATCATTACAAATGGTATATATAGGGCGGCAAGCGTTGACAAGAGCGCCTCCAGCTAGTCAATAATTACTAAGATTTATAGGGCCGGCGGTTGCAAATGCGGTCTCAAATTAACGTATACACTACTTGCCAATCAATCAGTCAGAATAAATAGCTCAATGATAATATTTCCTTTCTATCCCAATCAAGAATACAGATTCAAGATCAATAAAACATACTTGATACGAAATCATAATGGTTGGATTAGATAATCAACATTAGATTTTTTAAAAATCCTGTCTAATTAAATCAGTAATACTATTTTAAAAATAAACGTTTAAAAATGAAAAATAAACAGAAAAAAGCTATGATTTTGAAAGGCAGAAAATAAGATTAATCGCAGAATATTTGAGATCAGACTCAGGAAAAGGATTCATCAGAAGAGAATACAAATATAAGAAAGCTAGAATAAATGCATAAGAGAATAAATATAGAGAGAGCTATATGATGGGGAAAGAACCCATTTATCAAGAAAGTAACTTTGAAGACCCCTGTAGCGAACAAAGAAGTCACAGATACTACCAAACATATAAATAATAAAATAGGAAACAGCTGCACCAGATGTAAGCATTGTGAGATAATAGAAGTACTGGGGGATTTTGGAATATAATTGGTTTCCAGTGTTTAATTAATTTGTAACAATGGATACATACCAAGGGGTATGTAGAGCTTGGTATTATGGTTTTACCCAAGAGCCACGGAGGAACTGAAAACAAATAATTTTGTTTAATAAATCTTTAAACTATGCAACCAAACGTCAACTCACGATTTTGAGAAGAAAGAAAGTGAAAGATGAAAATTAATTAGCAACATTATGCATTTATGATGGGCAAAGAAAATGAACATAAAATGCTAAAGAAGACTAATAATAAATTGATTAGGTCATAAACAGGCCTATATTGTGCTTTATCGATAGCAAGCAAATGATGAACTGATCAGTGTCTGGAGTATTTTAAAACTGTTAGGCAAAATCTTTGATTACAAATAGGAACTCGAAACAGATTGTAACAGTCTAAATGAGAAAAAAAAAAGTGAACATATGAACAAATAATGCAAGGATGTGTTTTATCACTAGATCTCTTCTCTCTCTATGAAGAAATAATGAAGAAATATTTCAAAAGATGACACATGTTTGACAACTCAGAAAACACAAGATTTACAACAGCTGTTAGATATTATTGTAACCAAGAAAGGTGGGGGGAAAGGGGGGGGGAATCTTCCTTAATTAAAAGAAAACATAAATCATTGTTGTATCAAAGAAATTGATCACACCCAAATAGAATAATAAAGTATCAATTATTTCAAATATTTGGGGAAATAATATAATCAGATGGAAGACGAGAGGCCAAGATTAAGAGCACTGAAGTTACATTTCAGAAGATGAAATTTATTTGATGTAATGTGTAACTTTTTTAAAAACTAGAAAGAATATCGGAATGTTACTTTAAATATTGTACGTGTTCTGTGAATTTTGGAATGGTGACAAAAAAGTTTACCATGTTACCCCAGGTAAGTCGCTTTTCCCGCATTTACTGGTTTTTCATGACATGATGACTGATCAGTGGCCTAACACCAATATAATATCTTTGGTACCTGCTCATCTTACAGTGTAGTAGAGGTGGTGGGTGTGATTATATTAAAAAAGAAAAAAAAAAAAACATTGCTGAAATTTTCCTTGCAGCGAATTATTGTGAGTGACATTATAATAATCTCAGTATGACATCACTTGTTATCACTTTTCTCCATCTAGCTATATCAACAAAGCCAAATTGTTGTGGTCTAAGGAAACGAATGCAATTAATTATGTGCTGCATTTGTATTTAGTTATTATTTACCTCTAAAGTTATGATAGGATTGTAATTTTTTTAAATTTTCTAGTTGATGGGGAGGCGGTGCTATGGCAGTAGCCAGCAAGTCTGCCTGTTTTCTTGGTGGTCAAAGGTTTAAACCCTTTGGACTTTAAAGAAAACTGACCAGAGTCCACAATTCTCCTACTTTTTCTCTTCCCCTAAAGATATAAAAATAACAAAAAGTGAAGTTAAAAATGCACTCAATATCAAAAACATAAACGATGACTAGAGAGCCTTCAGCAACACATGACATTTGTCTATAATACCACAAATACAAACAAGAATACACCATTAAAAAAAATAAAAATAACACTTAACAGACGTGTCTCCGATAGAAATCACATCTCTTTCTGGACAGCAGAATATTTAACACGTGTCTGGACATATAAAATACACATTGACCAGAGAAGGCTAAAAAATATTAGATAAAACTGCTGTGAATGTTAAGTCCCCTGTGTGAAATGTATTGCCAATGAGATGGATAAGACAGTTCTCGAGAGTGTCATTGGAGTGGCTAGATTTGATGACCACAACCTCCATGTCGAGGACACGTTGGTGATCCTGAGAATTCAAATGCAATTGCTATCATTTTGGGATACCATTATGTATATCTAAACAATGTTGCCTTAACCTGTTAGCTAATCGTAATTTCGTTTCGATGATGTATTTCATACCACATCTTTTGAAGATGATGGCGTAAATAATATTGCAGATCATTCACATTTAATACCTCATATATGTTGAACATGGCATTAGGGAATTTATGACTGTCCACTTGAACCACATCTTGCGTATAGGTCTACTAGGCAAACAGTTTAAAGGCAAATGTGCGTGCTTTGCACAGCTAAAGTGAATAACAATTGGCTAGAAATTTTTTGACTACAGTGAACAAATATACACAGCTGTGTAAAAGACAAATAACAAATTTAGTGTGTGTTTACGCGTGGGTCAAGTGATAAGAAAAGAGGCTGTGGATAACATTGCGACTGGAAAATCAGTGATAGTAAAGCTAGAGAGAGAGAGAGAGAGAGAGAGAGAGAGAGAGAGAGAGAGAGAGAGAGAGAGAGAGAGAGAGAGAGAGAGAGAGAGAGAGAGAGAGAGAGAGAGAGAGAATGTATTATAGTCTAAAGTGGTTATGTAGAGTGGTATTATTCTTAGGATTAGTTCAGAATGCTTAGCTAATGATGATTACTTGTTTAACCCCACCAGGACATCACACTAAGCAATAAATACCCGGTGACACAAAGTGCCACTTTTTGGATGGGGATCATCCTTGGAGAGGTACCAGAAATCACGTTAAACCGTTCGGTAACACTAGGACCCCCGGCAACAACCAGTGTGGTGCTTCAGAATAGCAAAAAATTGCATCTCACATGGTGACGACGAATAATGCCTAGCTAAGACCGAGATCTGTTAAGAAACGTGAAGACACGTGACATTTCCAAGGCACGGAGAAACGACTTCTAAATGTTACATAGCCCTATGTGACCAGCAAAGAATATGGAATTAAATATGCCTATGTGCTCATTTCAATGTTACAGTAGATTGTATATTTTTGTGTAATTTTATCTTATTTTATCATTTCAGTAAAGACTGCATACACTGGGGATTACTCCCCCTTGCAACTGCTAAGATGAAGGAGAATGCAAAACTTGCAAAAGGATATTTTACTGGAGACCCCTCCTATGAAACTGAACATGTGGAGTTGAAAATAACAGGTGAAGGTCAAAATGCAACAGAAGAGGAAGAAGTTGTAAGTATGCATTTGGTGTACTTTTTATAATATAATCATGTTTAGTAAAAACATTATTGTTGAGTTCTTACAATTTATGGGTAATACTTAGGATAGAGACTAAATAAAGTGATGTAAATTTTATTGAAATTTTAAAAAAACACTGAATACAGAATATGGCATGTTAAGAAAATTGAATTGGAGAGAGGGAGAGAAGAGAAAGATTAGTCAGTTATAACTCAGTTCTGAAAATTATGATATATAGTTTTGCTAGTTAAAATTTCAATTGTAAAAATTAGGAGTAAAATTTATCAGCTCATTCTGTCTTAGCAAAGCACCATGTGCCATCGACCATACTCCGTGTTTATCCATCAATGCACCATACTGATTGACTGTTCTTCACATGTACCAATCAATGCACTAGATCTATTCAGCTGTTCCGCTATGGGGGCATAATGGCTTTTTTCATGAATGTACAGATTGTGTCTATACATACTGAATAAACTAAAAGATTATATGATTAATTTGTCAATAAATCAGGAAGAACTAGTGAATACAAAGGATGGATGGTTGTTTTTCTCTGTGCATCTTCCCTTGTGGTGGCATACATAGAAGAAAAATAAAGATTTTTTCATCCTAAAGAAACTACACCAGTCTACAAACAGAGCTGTATACATATTAATAGGGCTGTACCGAATAGTGATTTTCACTATTCGGCCGAATACGAATAGTGGGACCAACTATTCAGCCGAATACGAATACGAATAGTGTATCATCATCATCAGATGCCTTGCCGACTGACGTGGGCGATTATGTCTCACCACAATCTGCGATCTGCTGCTGCAGCATGTATTAGCTCGTGTGCTGACACACCTCCATGCCATGCAACAAGACTGTCAAGAATGTCCTCTCGTTGTCTTCCTCTATCCCTCCTTTCATAGATCTTTCTAGTGGTCGCCACATGTTCCATTTTCCCTCTTCTCATAACATGGCCGAAAAATGATGACTGTCTCCTTCTGGTGTCTGGGATTAGTTGTCTTCGGGCTCCCGCCTCTTTCAAAACCTATTGTTTTTTTTTTTTTTGTTTTTTTTTTTTGTTCAAGGTATTTTAAGTATTTTTCGGTAAAACTACATCTCTGAAGCATAGAGAAATTGTTTGGCCTGCCTACTGATTGTCCAGGACTTACATCCATATGTTAAAACTGGAAAAATAGTAGCAAGCAAGAATTATTTTTCTTACGTTCAATGGTAAAGATATATTGCAAAAGATGTTCTTCGTTTTATAAAATGCAGTTATTGCCTGTCGCCTGTGCTCTTTTCGACAGTGGCGAGGAAAGTATCTCAAGTATCCTTATGTCTTCTTTAATAAAGTTACAATTTATAGCCGACTTTTCTTGATTTTCGCCCAGTACCCCTGGCATACGCACCCAGTTTGAGAACCTTTGCTGTAATGCCTCGGTCGAGTCAGCAGGCAAGACCTTGCCAGCTGCTGTACCACGCAACCGGGTCTCAGTTTTCCCGCTTCTACAAACTTAGGCAACAGCAACTATTGTGTTAATGAGAGAGTTATTTCAGTCCATCGCAGTGTATGCAGAAATGAGTGTAGGGTAATCACTATTCGTATTCGGCCCGATGGCAACTATTCGGCCGAATACCGAATAGTCATTTGTTCCACTATTCGGCCCCGAAACGAATACGAAGCGAATATTCGGTACAGCCCTACATATTAATACATTCATTTTTATCATAAACTGTTATTTACATTTTTTACGCTTAAAACAGACAATTGTGAAAGAGGAAGACCGTCTCACTTCTGTAATTGCTGAAATTGATGAGGATGTGAGAATTGTTCCTCGAGGGGCATTTGTTCAGGTTCCTACTGCGGAAGTTGTGAAGAACAGAAGTTTTGAGGGTATTATATCTGTCTCTTTCTAACAGCTTTATTGGGTTAAATATGTAATTGTATTTGTACCTTTTTGTATTTACTATACTTCTGTTAAAGTGCGCATGTGTGTATCTGTGAATAAAATCTGCCGCATAAAACCCGTATTTTTACAAATCAACTAGCAATCAATGGATAATGCAGGCAACATCGTGTCTGCTACCTTTACTTCCCAGATCTTTTTCGCTATCCATCTTAGACTTTGTCTGTCTGAAGTCCTATTCATTTCTAAAATAATCAGCCTTGGTTAAGTTGAGCTGTGTCATGAATCAACATCCCATCACTTGGAACATTCTTTTCAGTGCTGTAACCTCATCTTCAGCAGCCAGCACCAAGTTCCAGTTCCGATAGTACTTATAACAGTCTGTTATGACCAGTTGCTTTCCTCTGAGGGTTGCATGTTGGCGAGATCCCCTGGTCACTCCAAGCATTTTTTTTTTACACACTATAAAGTTACTTTGTGTTTCTGTACCGTTCATTTTCTTTCAAAGGGCTTTGATCATATCTAGTTTCATGGGTTTTAACAAGTCAGTCATTGAAGATTCCAGGTAAGTCGACCACTATCATAGGTACGCCAAAAGTCACTATATGTGTTTCTCATTTTGGGACACCTCATTTAACTCTAGATGCGGCTCATGTCTTTCAATGGCCTTGGTATATTTGACCCTGAATTTATTTGGTAAGACGTCCACTATCAGGGATAAACACTGAGCCACTCAGTGTCTTTTTCCTTTGGAAAAACATTAAGTATCAATGTACTGCTAAGTTTGTTAACTGAAGTTCCTTGGTAGATCATTACTCTGACACAAGTCTGATCACGATTCAATATTTGAGACACCTTAAATCACTGAAGGTTCTTCTCAAGTTTGTCACTGGTCTTGACAAGTTGGTCACTGAAGTTTCGTAGGAAAGGTCCACTGTCCTTGGAACACAGAAGGTCACTCTATATCTTTCTCTTTTAGGACACCTTGAGGCTTTCGATGCATAGCACACGTGTTTCATTGGCTGTCCCTGATGAGTCGGACACGCTGCAACTTTCAGAAAATACAAGACCACTGTAATGAGGGGAATTTCCTAACGACGGTATAAAGCTAAAGATAACATAAGTGGGGATTACGTGAGAACATAAAGACTCGTGAAAGCACGAGGTATTTAAACAGTACTAGTCTGACAGCACGAGGAACCCAGAACGATTATTTGAAGGATGAGACAAAAGTCTTGTTAGCTGGTATTTTGCAGACAGAGTGAAAGGTTGTGTTCGAAAGGAGTGCGAATATAATATTGTATAATTGAAACGTGGAGGAAAGTTTGAATCTGGGAGATGACAGCCTAGCCAGAGTATAATCAAGTCGACACCCAAACTGATTGTGAAACTCAACTGCAAGCTGTCGGAAATGCCTTCTCGGCGCCTGTGTGTGTGACGTGTATGTAACATCAGGATTGCAAGGTAACGGTCGTGAACATCTGATATGTATGGTATAACAGCATTTCTCTGAATCTTTGACCAGGCTAAAGAGTAGCGTTCAGTAACTGAAACATGTTGTCTTTTGGGATTAAATACATGTTATGAACTGCTAGGCTGTCTCTTTATCACCATATATGTGTATAAACTCCTCATCTATGTAAGAAACATCATAACACCATAGACAACAGCTTGCACACGGAAGACATAACTTTTCAATGACTTTTAAAAACTACTAGGCGACATAAAAGAACACAAGGCGACTTTTAGAAAACACAATGCGACTTTTAGGATACACGAGACGACTTTTACAAAACACAAGGTGTTTTTTACAAAACGTAATGCAACTGTTAGAGAACATAAGGCGACTTTTATAAAACACAAGGCGACTTGTAGAAAACACAAGGCTACTTGTACTAAACACAGGGCGAATGTAAGAAAAATCATGGCGACTTTTATAGAACACGAGACGACTTTTAGGAAAAACAATGCGACCTTAAGTAAACATAGGGCAACCCTAAGAAAAGTCAGGGCGACTTTAAAAAAAAACATATGGTGATATAGGAAACACATGGTGACTTTTACAAAACACAAGGGGACCTAGTGGCCAGATTGTCAAGCTTCCTACTAACTTGTTTTGTTTTAGTGGTCCTGTCAAGTTTCTTCAGATTATCCCCACCATCCTTGATACGACTTAGGTCATTCAATGTCTTTCTCTGCTCGACCAATCAAATTTGTTCATTGCCTTTTCTTTATACTGTACTTGTGTAAACTCGTCTCAACAACTAGTCATGTCCTCAACTAGATCTCCGATAATCTGTTCTCCTGGTCGCCTGCCTGATTGTGTCGTAAGTGGCTTTGTCTTATTGTACACTTGTAAGTCTTGTCAACTATGCTTCACGGAGGCAAGCATACCCGTCCAACCAATATATAATCCCTTTAACTAGCAGTCCGATCGACTATTTCCTCAGTTGTCTTCCTGATTGTATCATAAATGGCTATGCGCCTTTTCACAAAGTAAAAAGGATGATTTTAAAGGGCAGTTTGCCCATCTAACCAACTAGTCGTTCATTCAACTAGATGTACGACCGTCCGTTGTCTGCCTGGTTGTACCATAAGTGACCGTACACTTGTCTATTATTATCTATTATTAACGGAGGTAATTTTTCTATGTTAGTAAATTAAAAGGTGATCGATGTTTGAAAAAAATGCAAAATATGAAAGGTGAAGACGCAGCAACCTCTAATTAGTGATCAGCCTCTGCGACCTGCCTTTATTCTCCACATGAGGATTTGACCCTCTCACTGAACATCAGCATCTAACATTGTGACTTGACACCGATCCAATTTACTCAGGTTTCCTATTTTGCTATATTTGAAGTCATAGCACCATAAACCACAGGGACCCTAATACCTCACAACTAACTAGCTGACACATGACATGCCAGCTCACTGAGTACCAGCACCTAACATTGTGACATACCCACCAACCGCCCTTTGTTATAACTTTTCGTTTTTTCCTCTATATAAAGTTATACGTAGTGACCCTCGATGATCCATTAAACACATTATGTAACTAGCTGGCACTAAACATTGACTAATTAATCATCGGCCGGCAACTAACACGTCGATACCACACCCACCTAATTTACCATACTTTTTCATTTTCTCCTCTATATAAAGCATAGCACCACACACAGTGACCCCTTAACCCTCTCATGCAACTAGTCAGCACGACAACTGACCCCGTCACTAAGTCGGTGGACGTAATACTGCACCATGACACCTTTCCATTTGCCCTAATTTTACATTTTTACTCTACATAAAGTCATAGAATCATATGCTCTGGCCCCTGAATGACCCCTAATACTCCCTATGTACCTAACTGACACAATAACTTGACACCTTTCACTAAGCCACTGGTACCTATAATTTTACCATGACACCCACCACTTTGGCATTTTATCATTTTTTTCTTTCTATATAAAGGCCTAGCACTATATTCTCATGGGTCCAGATGAGATTCAATTTTACACCAAAATTCCTCATGTAACTAGTCAACCAGACACTTGATTGAGCCGCAGGTCCTTAACACTATGCAATGACACCCGCAATTTTGCCATAATTGTTCATTATTTTTCTACTGAAAGTCGTAACACCATATGCATAGTTGACTCAGATGACCCCTAAAACCTCTCAAATTACTATATGACACAACAACTTGACCCCATCACTGATCCACTGGCACCTAAAACTATGAGATGACACTCTTCGTTTTGCCATTAATTTTTATATTTCTACTCTATATAAAGTCATAGCACCATATGCCCTGGAGCTCCTGATGACCCCTGGCACCCTTTTGAAATGTTTGTAGAAGACTGCCTATCGCCACTAAGTTGTATACTACCATAAATACATTTCATCAGCTAACAACCAACACTAGACCGTGTAGAGATATGATGGCCGTCACCTTTCGGCATGGTACTTGATGAGGATGATGATGATGATGATAATGATGATGCTGTGTGATCAGAAAACACCCCCGAGCCCTGGATGACACCCGACCTATAAATATATAACATATATATTTGTCTACCCCCCTCAACGAAGCCAATCAATACCCCTCTCTTCTTCTATTCTTCTAATTTATATGTCTAGTGTCATATCGCTATATTTTTTAATTAGTTCTATATATTTCTACTATATAACATTTAAAATTTCTATCTACCGCCGCCAAGCCAATCAGCTCACTTGTTTCTCCTTCATTTTACTATGTAACCCAGCCCATCCGCCTCCTGTTAATTCCGACCCTGAAAATTCCCTGCGTTGCCTGCCTCATCCCTCAAGAACACAAGAGCCCTCCAGAGACGCCAGGTCACCATTGACCCTGAGTCACGTGACTTGAGCCTCGACCGAGTTGCCAGGTGACCTAATCATAAATCGATAATTACCAAACCTGAAGTGTTAGACCTCTCGTTCATGAGGCGTAGATTGTATTGTTCTTCTATAAAGTTAATGGGATGCGTACACAGAATACAGAAGGGAATAAATTACTATGAATACAGAGCGAGCCGTCTCATCATTTGCGGTGCGTAATTAATTTATCTACAACTACTGATTTCACACGATTGCAGACGTAATGAGCGCTGTGAACACTTGGTTAAGTGAGCAACCAAATTTTTTGGCGGACGGCATTCGCTGCCTACCTATGCAATGGGACTTTTTCTGACCAACCTATGTTACTTTATTCATTGAAAATGAATGTTTGTTTCATTGTACCTAAGCAATTTAATGCTTGTCTGAATGCTTAGTGCGACCTTTTCTGATCAACCTACTTGTTTCATTCTGCCAAAATTTAGAAATTTCTTTAATGCTTCTGAAGCAAATCCAATGAAACGGGATTCTAATGACCACTCCCTATATATATATATATATATATCATCATCATTATCATGTGCCCTTTCGGTTAAGCCACAGCTGTTATATTCGCCATCTCACATGATCACCAG